CCAGATATGCAAAGTACTCGACTATATCAACGGTTTGATTCCTGATCGTAATATCAATTTTTACATTGTCCACTTCCTGATCTTTGATTACTTTTCTGGACGCGTCTTCTTTAAGCTGCTTCAAAGACATTATGCACGTCTTTTTGACACTCATTTTCAATCCACATTCTTGAGTTACTTTCTCGAATGTTCGAATAAACTTTTCGAGATCAGCCGCTGTTGTGCACATTGCCACCACGTCATCCGCGTATATCAAATCGAGTATTTCAATATCTTCATGTGCCTCGCGCGTAGAATGATAAAAATCACCATTTCCATATGCCAGTTTCACCCCAGATACACCTACTTCAGCCAATATCTTACGCGTGATAAAGTCAAACAAGAGATTGAACAGGACGGGAGATGGAATTCCACCTTGTTGGACACCGGTTTCAATATCGAATGTTTCCGAAAAATCACCGTCAATTCGCACTTGTGCTTTCGTGTTAGTATAAAGAAGCTTTAGCATTCGAACGAGTTTCTCCGACAAACCATAATGTCTACACACCTTCCACAACAGCTCTCGATTAACCGAATCATAATCTTTTTGGATGTCGATGAAGCACATAAACAATGATTTATTGTATTCCTGTGATTTTTCCATGATCATTTTTCAGGTGAAAATTTGATCGACTGATGATCTGTTTGGTCGGAAACCTGCTTGTTGATCTAGCAACTTTTTGTCGAGCAGTCCTTGTATTCGGTTGAGAATAATTCGAGAGAATATTTTACTCACGACAATTAATAAAGAGATACCGCGATAGTTGTCATAAAAACGTTTATCCCCTTTATTTTTGTACAATCGAATCAGTATAGCCATTGTCCAGTCTTCTACCATTTCCTCGTTTATCCAAGCATCAACTACGATTTGATGTAGCCACAGAGCTATTTCCATACCACCAGCTTTCAATAATTCAGCCGTAACATCATCCTTACCCGGTGCTTTTCGACTTTTCATCTGTCTGATCGCTTGCACAACTTCAGGCAAGGACGGTGGTGTATCCTGTCTTGTCTCCTCAGCTTTATCAATAGCTGGAATAGGAATCTGTTGCAAATCGTTGGATCAATAATTGTATGTACATTCAATAACTCACAGAAATATTCCCGCCATCGACTTAACCTGTCCTTGGAGTGCAATAACATCTTACCATTTTTATCCTGAATGGAAGTGTTATCTATGTTTTTGTTTCTTCCTCGTAATCGCCTTATCATAGCATAAGCTGTCGCTGGATCATGTTGTTTTATAGCATTTTCAATTTCACAACTAATTTCGTCCCAATACTCGAATTGTCGAGCTTCGATTTTTCTTTTCACCAGTTTCGCGAGTGCCCGATATTTCGACCTATACTTTTGTTCATTATGTTTTCCAAGACGATTTTGCCAGTGGAGATAGGCTTCTGATTTTTTCTTTACCATGTCAAGAATTTCATCCGTTAGCCACTCCTTTCGTTTTTTAGCATTGTTTTCTTGCTGAAAATATCTGGTTCCCAATTCACGTACGTGCTCAACAAACTGTGAATACTTTTCATCAATAGTCATTTCGTCATCATACACTTCATTCTTCTTCCGCTCAATGTCCCGTTTGAAACCATCCCGTAGTGTATCGTTGTGAAGCTTTTGATAATCGAGCTTCAATCGTTTTTGTTGTTGATTTTTCGTTCGACTTTTCAAGTGAATTTTTACCTTTGCTCGGAAGAGATGATGATCTGTTCCAATAAATCCGGCTGCTCCTCGATGAGCCCTGACATCGTGCACACTTGTACGAAATTTCCGATTTACCAAAATATAATCCAATAAGCGCCAACGTTTGTTACCTGGATGCATCCAGCTGGCTTGGTGCACAGGTTTATGCTGAAAGAAAGTGTTCGTCACTATCAAATTGTTTAGAGAGCAAAAGTCGACTAAATGTTGACCATTCTCGTTTTGTTGATCTATTGTGTGCTTTCCAATTACATCACCGGCCGTTTGAGACTGTTGTAAGCCAACTCGAGCATTGAAATCTCCCATAAGTAGAACCATATCACGTCTCGACACTTTATCCATGGCCTCCTGTAAGCATTTGTAAAATTCAACTGAAGCTGCACTTTGAGCCTTTTGCCCATTTGATGGATACACTGGTGCATACACTGCTAACACTGTGATACGATCAGAGGTCGAGTCGTAATCGTCTGGAAGTGATAAATTAGATACTGTTGTTAAATTGTTTTTGTTAGCTATTGGAGAAGAGCGTCTCAAGTTGGTTGCATTAGAGTACGGTGTGACATCTATTTTAGTTTTAGTCTTCTTCAATGGTCCACAGAGACTTTGAGTAAGTGCTGAGGCAGAACTAGGTTCAAGAACACATTTTGGTGCTCCATGTTCCACTAGTCTTCTACACACTTGTCTTTCAGTTTTACCACAATACGAATCGGTGCAATCATTACAATTAACTGCATAAACTAAATTTGATTGAAGTAAATTAGGAATATTATCCTTAACTTGAAAGAATGAACCAACTGATTTTGGTGGTCTCATACTTATTTTTAATCACATTCTGGCTTAATTGTTTTTGTTAAATAAGTTAACCTTTTACTTAGTACTTTAGATGAATTTTTCACAAATGGCACATCAACAATTAGACGAGTTTTATTAGAATTATCTTTTTTAGTGTTATTTGCTGCTGTATAATGATTTGAAACCAACATTTTATTAAGTAGAACTCCTATTAAAGTGTCCACAAATGTGCGTGGATATCCATTTAGTTTAGTTATACGTCTTATTTCATCCAATTCATTTGATAGTAG